TTTTTTTTTTTTTTTCTTTCCAGTGTGGTAACTATATATGTGTGTTTTTTTCTTTTTTCTTTTTTTGGTTCCCTCCGGAGGGAGGGAGATGCTCACGGGAGTTTGCTGTGTTCTGTTCCCACCCCTGCCGCAGGTCCCCCTCCCCCGAGCCGATCTACAACAGCGAAGGCAAGAGGCTGAACACACGAGAGTACCGCACCCGCAAGAAGCTGGAGGAGGAACGGCACACCCTCATCACCGAGATGGTGGGGCTCAACCCCGAGTTCAAACCACCTTCTGACTACAAGTATGTACCGCCCCAGGCTCCGATGAGTGAGACGCCGTCGGGCCCTTTCTCTGTGACTGCTAAAAAAAAATTATAATCTGTACTGCCCCACAAAGGCAAGACATAGGAACTACACTGTAGCTGAAACAAGGGGAAAAGGGCTGTTTCACCTCCTTTAGTGATGCTTTTGCCGTTTCTGCAATTTTCAGCCAAGCATAGCTGAACTAAAATGCTGTTTGATGAGGGAAATCCAGGACTGAGTCCCAATTTCAGTCATAAGTAATGTAATGTAATACAAGGTTGCTGCTGGCACAGAGGTTAATGTCCGTATCTCTGAATCATCTGTTTTTAGGCCACCAGCCAGTAGGGTCAACGACAAAATAATGATCCCTCAGGATGAGTACCCAGAGATCAATTTCGTCGGCTTGCTCATTGGACCACGGTAAGACGGCTGCATCGCTGTTTTCTTCTTAAAGGAACTCTGCTGTTTCTGGGTCTCTCTTATGGGGAATGTTCCCATGACCCTTGTCAGCTGAGGTCTGTGAGCAGACTGGAAGAGTTCATGTACAGGAACTTGGTTCATTGATTTGCATTCATAACATTTCAGTGTGTAATAAGCATCCGGTTTTGTAGCCTGCTGAGATTTGGTTGCACTGATCTATTTCACTGTTATGATCAAGACGGTGTAGAGCAGAATACCTGGAATTATTAGATGTTTTTTTGAGTTGTAATTTTATTGTAATGTTGTCTTTGCTTTAAGGTGATGTTCTAGCTCTCAGTAGTGTGTTACTTGAGGAAGTCTGTTAATATGGTTACGGTGCTGTTGTCTGATACTTGGGCTCCCTCTGTGTGCCGTAGTGGTAACACCCTGAAAAATATCGAGAAGGAGTGCAACGCGAAGATCATGATTCGTGGGAAGGGCTCTGTCAAGGAGGGCAAAGTGGGCCGTAAAGACGGACAGATCTCAGCCGGAGAAGATGAGCCTCTGCACGCTCTGGTGACCGCTAACACCATGGAGAACGTGAAGAAGGCCGTGGAGCAGGTCAGTCACTGAATTCGCCCCCCGCGCCTCGCCACCCTCCCCTGAGCTTTGCCGCAATTTCGCGGAGCTCCATCAGGAAGCCTAGTTGTTGGCAGTATTGGGGGACGTGCTCAGACGTTCCGGTGTTCCACCTCTGCAGATCAGGAACATCCTGAAGCAGGGTATCGAAACGCCAGAGGACCAGAACGACCTGCGCAAGATGCAGCTTCGCGAGCTTGCCAGGCTGAACGGCACGCTCCGAGAGGACGACAACCGGTACGCCCCCGCCGTGCTTGGGGGACAGCGCGTTACCTGCAGCGGAAAATACCGCCTGTCGTGGGGGGTGTGTTAATGTGGCGCTCACTGCGGCTTTTGCGGCCCCCAGGGTCCTGCGGCCCTGGCAGAACTCGGAGCCACGCAGCATCACCAACACCACCGTCTGCATCAAGTGCGGAGGCGCCGGACACATCTCCTCCGACTGCAAGTTCACCAGGTAGGCTGTTGCCAGGCAACCCACCCCGCCCTGCCCCTCCCCGCTCTGTCGACTTGTGTTGAGTTTCTCTGCCGTGGTGAAAAGCTTCGCCGTAGTTGTCACTTGCTGCGACGCTCCGAGTTTCGTGCCTGAGATGCCTCATCTGTGCCTGTCACTGGTAACCGTTGTATTCCTCCCCGCCCCCGCAGCTCCTTCGCCCCCCGAGCAGGCGAGCCACAGTCAGCTCAGGATAAAGCACGAATGGATAAAGAGTATCTGTCCCTCATGGCGGAGCTGGGCGAGGCCCCCGTCCCCTCGTCCACTGGGGGATCTTCCCGTAGTAACCCCAGCGGCCCACGGGGGTCAGGACCCAGCAACAACCAGCCCCCTCCGGTGAGCCCCCCCCCCTCCCCAGCCCAGACAAGTGTGTTTTTGAAGGGGGAAGAGCGTGTCCGGTTTGACTCTTCCTATGTGTTGTTTTATTCAGAATCGCCCCCCCTGGATGAACAGTGGCCCTTCAGACAGCAGGCACTTTCCCAGCATGCACGGCGGCCCAAGCAATCATGGGGGCCACCACAACTTCCCCCCTCCCATGCCCAGCATGGGGGGGATTCCCATGCCGCCCAGTCACAATGGGCCGCCCCCGCCCTGGATGCAGCCACCCCCACCCCCGATGAATCAGGGGCCCGGGCCGCAAGGACACCCTCCTATGGGTGACAGTTACTACGGTAACTTTTTTTCCAAAACCTAAATTGTGACGTGTTGCATGTAATGGCTTATTAGTAAATTAGCAGCAGACTGCGTTGGGTTTAATGTGTGAGTGGTTGTGTAGGCCGGCTAGCTGGCTGTGTTTAATCGTTGGTGTGTGTCAGCTCTGTTTTTAAGCATGTTCAGAGAGACTGTGAATCTCATGACTTAGGCTCATGGGAACTGCATGCCTATTGCAGGAATGGGCCCCCCCCCAGCGCCTGGGGGAGGGCTTTATGAATGCAATGGCCTCGTTAACATTTCTCTCTCATTCCTAAAGGTGTTTCCTCTGACCTACCTATAGGTATGATGCCTCCGCCCATGGGTATGATGCCTCCGCCCCCGCCCCCTCCCAGCGGCCAGCCCCCCCACCCCCCATCCGCCCCCATGCCCCCCTGGCAGCCACAGGCGCCCCCACCTCCCCCAACGAGCAGCATGGTGACCAGTGCGCCGTTGCCGTGGCAGCAGAGTGAGTGTCCCTTCCCTGTCTTATGCAGTCACCCACCCATCTGTTTCCCAGTTAGCATGTGCTGAATGGGAGTGATTTCCAGTGACCGCAGGGCACCGTGCAGACCTCAGTGCCGGGTCTGCTTTGCCGGTTCTGTCTGTGCAGTTCAGCCTCGTACCACTTTGCTCCCCCAACTGTCTTTCTGCCAAATTGAGTCTAAAACCATTTGGTTACGGAGGGGGCATTCAGCATCTCCCATCCTGTCTGTCTCTGTCTGTCTGTGGGTACATGCTGCTTCAAACGTGATCTGACGATGTCCTTGTATCCTGCAGATACCACCACCACCTCCAGTCCAGGCTCTGGCAACCTGCCTCCATGGCAACAGCAGCAGTCTGCAGGTGGGGCATCTGCCCAGCCCCCACCCCCCATGGGCAGCTCGTCTTTAGTGCCCCCTCCGCCTGGGGTCAACCCCCCGTTGCCGCCTGGTGCCCCGCCTCCCCCCCCTCCACCTCCCCCACCGGGATCTGCCGGCATGATGTACGCCCCGCCCCCCCCTCCGCCTCCCATGGATCCCTCCAACTTTGTCAACATGATGGGCATGGGGGTGCCAGGCATGCCCCCATTCGGCATGCCCCCGGCCCCCCCTCCGCCGCCCCCCCAAACTTGATTCCACACACCGTACGAGGCATATTAATCTCCTCCCATTAGTCTTGTATAGTCTGTACACAGACCGAAGGACTATATAATTTCACAAGTCTTTCATAGGTTTATAGTTTATGGTTTTATGTACATGTCATTGACAGAGTTTAATTTAAAGGGAAACGCCATTTGGAAAAATACCGGGATGATTTTGGGAGCTTAGAGCCTGCAGTTAACGTAGATTCCTCAGTGGCAATATCCTGTTTGATCCAGTTTGGTCTCTGACCCTTCAATATCCACAAAGTGGAAGTGTTTGCCAGGTCTGTTTTTCACCTACTGGCGACCAAGACGTTTGCTTAAAAATTGTAGCCCAAGTGCTGTTTGGTTTCCCCTAAGGAAGTGTTTTTGTAAAATGCAAAAGATTTTAAAAATTCTAGTTCGCAGCCTGCTTCCTTTCACCAGTGCCACCTCAGTGTTTGTGTTAAGCGTCTAGATGGATTGAGTGACACTGAGCAATTCCTGCTGCACACGGATCTGCTCATTTTTGAGGCGGTCTGGAGCGGGTAGGAACTCGTATCTGTTGTCTAATATTGAGAATCTACAGCATCATTGCATATGATGGACGTGCAGCATCATCCACAAATGATCAAACTGCTTGACGTTTACTGTGGTCAGAATCAGTTAATGCAGGCACCAAGCCAGACCAGTAATTTTAGAATATGCCAAAACGGTAAATGCTTTGCAGGGAAATGCTCCCCACTTTTTATTTTGTGGAAGACTGAGTTGTAAATCGACTTGATGTTAAGTTTCAGAACCCAGCCCTCTGTTAAAATGCATATATATATTATATATATCTTGTCTGATTGCGATTCTCCTCATATGGCTGTACTGTGAACGATCCCCATTGTTTCGTGCAGGCCGTACGATCTCATAGTCTCTGCATTCATGTCTTTTACGCTTTTTAATTATCAGTTTGTTTCCGTCAAGTCATCCAGTTTGGGCAAAGTTTTTAGGCTTTTTGGTTTTTTTTTTTGTTTTTT